TTAGGAAAGCTGTAAATATGAGACCAAGAACATGCTTCCAATGACAGGAGTTCTTTTGTATAGTTTTGGGGTTGTTGAAGATTTACCCAGCAGAAATGAACGAAGAAGCAAACAGAATGGAAAACTAGAAGGGGAGAGGGGGCCTCTGCCATCTATTGGCTGAAATAGAATTTTATATAAGGTTCCCAAAATGAATTTTGTTGTTTGTTTTTGAGGAAGATCTCACTTTGTAACCAGGCTGGTCTCGAACTCAGAGCAGAACTTTAGTCTCAGCATCTCAAGTGCTGGAACTAAGAAGTAAACCACTATGTCCAACCAAAATGAAAGTTAATATGAAAGTAAACAGAAATCAGACTTTTTATCATCCTGCTAACATGATGAAATTTTCTTAGTTTGTTCTGTTCCCAGTAAGGGACTGAAAAAGTTTTTCTTTTTTAAGTTACTGGCAGAGGGAAGGAAGATTTTAAGTTTTATCAAGATGCTTCCCTGTGCTGTGTACATGATGCAGGTTCTTGGTTACAAAGAGCTTAAACTTGTCTAGTAAAAAGGCCACAACTTTTAACTTTTACAACAAAGTAACTTCATCTGCCTTTGAATTCTTTGCCTGCTTTTGAAATATTTAAGTGATTTTTTTAAAAATGTGAACTATGGTGTGTTTCTCAATTATCTGTGACCCCATATAATCACAAGCTTAACCTATTTTAATTAATTAATTAATCAATTAATTTTGAGACAGTGACTCACTGGGTAGCCATGGCTGGCCTGAAACTCAGCACATAGACCAGGCTAGTCTTGAACTCACAGAGATCTGACTGCCTCCTGAAAACTGGGATTAAAGGAGTGTGACACCAGGTCTGGCTGATATTTTTTTTTTTAAATAAATGTTCGAAAATAAAATCATAAAATTTTCTTTGTTGTGGATTTCCCCTGGCTTTTTTTTTCTCCAGACAGTCCCTGAAATATCACATCAAAAAACTAAAAACAAAAGACAGGTGGACAGTGGTGGTACAGGCCTTTTCTCCTAGTACTTGGGAAGCAGAGGCAGGTGGATCTCTATGAGTTCGAGGGCAGCCTGGTCTAGAGATCGAGTTCCAGGACAGGCTCCAAAGCTACACAGAGAAACTGTGTCTTAAAAAGCAAAACAAACAAACAAAATACAAAACAGACAAATCAAAAAGAGAGACATTAAATTAATTAGGCTGACTGGTTATTCAATTCAATGTGAACCACTGAGCAAAAGTCATATTTGACCTTCTTTGATTTGATGACTAGATGCTTTTTTGGTTGCTTGTTTTTGTTTTGTTTTTTGGTTTTTTGAGACAGGGTTTCTCTGTGGCTTTGGAGGCTATCCTGGAACTAGCTCTTTGTAGACCAGGCTGCTTTCCAACTCACAGAGATTCACCTCCCTCTGCCTCCCAAGTGCTGGGATTAAAGGCGTGTGCTGTTTTGTTTTGTTTTGTTTTGAGACAGGATCTGGCTATATCTCTCTGGCTGGCCTATAACTTGCTATGTAGAGCAGGCTGACCTCAAAGGCAGAAAGTTCTACCTGCCTTTGCCTCCTAAGTGCTGGAATCAAAGGTATGTGCCACCATACCAGCATCAAATTACCTACTTCTAAAAGTATAAAGGTGCCATGCCACAAACTTAGCAATGCAGACTGGGACCATATGAGCACAGGGACACAGTAATTTCATTAAGAAAGCTGGGGCCAAGGAGTAATTAAACACACTAGACCAAGGAAGGAGTATCATAGTCTCATCTGAACTCCATAAAAAAGAAGACAACTAACTTTGAGATGACAACAGCCCTACCCGTCATCTGACTATTCAGCATCGAGGAATCAAGAGAGCTCCTAAGTATTCCAGGGATTCAGCTCTTCACCCCCACCCTCTCCTGTGCTGATGGAGCCTACTTGAAGTGCCACCTGTTAATCCTCCTAGCCATCTGTCTGGATGTGGTCTTGCACCTTGCTTCTGTAGCTTGACTTGATCCCAAGACTCAGCTCAAACCTGTGGCTATGGGGCTTGTCTCTGTAGTGGTGTTCCCAACCAACTTCCAATGGGAGTTCACTATGTGACTCCACCCTTCTGCAGAGACCCTCTTCACATCCCTAGCAGCTTCCTGCTCCTGCCTCTCAGGGAGACTCACCAAAACTCCCCAAAAATCTACTGAAGCCTCTTTAACCCCTTGTGCCATCCTCTATAGTAATAGATACTAATAATATATATGAAGTATAATACATGACCCAAGAGTTAATATTAGTGATCAAGATTGGAATTTAAAGGCTGGTTTGATACTGAGTGGTGGTAGCACACACCTTTAATTCCAACACTCAGGAGGCAGAAGCAGGTGAATCTGAATGAGTTCGAGGCCAGCCCTGTCTACAAATTGAGTTCCAGGACAGCCAGGGCTACATGGAGAAACCCTATCTCAAAAAAACCAAGCAAGCAAGCAAGCAAGCAAGCAAGCAAGCAAGCAAGCAAGCAAGCAAAAAAGCTGTTTTGTTGACAGCCAGCTGTCAAGAGCCAAGTGTGGTGATGTGCAGAGGCAGGTGGATATCTGTGAGTTTGAGGCCATCCTGGTCTACATGAATTATTCCAGGCTAGCTAGGATTATACAGTGAGAACCATGTCTAGAGGGAGAGAGAAGAGAGAGATAAGACACATAGAGACAGAGAGCTACACAGATAAACACCACATACTACACAGAGAGAGAGAGAGAGAGAGAGAGAGAGAGAGAGAGAGAGAGAAGCAAGCAGAAAGACAGAGACAAATAGAGAGGGAAATAAGATTCATTTGGCAAATGACTGCAAATAAAACTGTCATAGCTTGTCAGTTTATTGCCAGTCAATACATTCTGACATTGTGGGAAAGCTACAAATATGTCTGTCTGTTTCTGGCATAGCACTTCCACAGTACATGCAATACCATCCATTCCCTTTTAGCATATCACCTCTCAAGCAGGACTCTGACTCTTGACAGACTCTTGACCCCCACAACTGTTCAGATGAGGAACAGTACTGCAGCAGACTGATTTGATGGTGAATGTGGCCTTATGGTAACTGGGAAGGTGGGGGGAGGTCCTGACCCCAGGGCTGGATATTTCTGGGCAAGACTCAAGTATGTGTATGGGATGGCATACTTTGTGGCTGTGAGATCTACACACTGTTCTCAGCCCCTTTTGGCCACTGGAGACATGGAGATATGGCAGTGGCTTGGGTGTGGCTAGTTTTCATCAGAGCTCATGTTGATGGTCATCAAGTGGATGGTGTTGAGGGGTGCTGGTGGGGTACTGGCTGGGCTGTCCTAGGCAATGTATTGGGAAGCAACCTTGACCTCCAATGTGTTTGAGTTTTTAAAGGCAAACCTGCAATTGTGATGTATACAGAAAAGTAGCTGTGGGCATCTGCAGCAAGAAAGCATTGGTTATAGAGAGATAGCAGTTCAGTGACCAGGCAGGTCTCATAGCCTTTAGTCGAGGATACATTATATAGGAATTAATGGCTGGCCCAGACCAGCTTACCCAAGATAGTTTTAGCACTTAACATATTCTTAGGAATACTTTCATGAGATGGTATAACTATGTTTGGTAACCCACTAACTGGGACTTGAGGAGGGATTCTCATTGTGATGGATCCATCCTTGCAAAGGGATTATCATCGGGAAGCTAGTCAACTTGAACCTCAATTCTTTATTATAACATAATTATACAGCCTCAGAGACTGTGCTGTAGCAATGAAAACCAGCAGAAGCAGGCAGGGGTGCCTGGAAAGCACGAGAGGAGAAAGCCAGCAGAGAGCAAGCAGATAGGTAAGCAAGCAAGGATGCATTTCTCTCTCTGCTCTTGAGTACAGACATGATGTCACTAGCTACTTGAGTTCCTGTCTTTACTTTTCTGAAATGATGGTGGTAACTAACTTGGAATTGTAAACAAATCCATCCCCCCCCAAGTTGCTTTTTGTGAGAGTGTTTGTCATAGTACCAGAATCGAGACTAGAATACCAACTCTTCAAAATTCGTTATGTGCTTTATACTTCAAGCACCTGGTGAGTACAACTCACCACACTCGAAAGGCTCATGGTCACAGAAACCACCTTGGGAAAGAGCCAAGAAGGTAGCTTCTTGGGACCCAGAAGTCCATGCTGATAGGGCAGGACAAGGGGGTCCCTGGTGGCCTTGCCATGCTGGGGACTATTGGTCTTGGGGCTTCTGAGAACACAGCAGGAGGGACAGATAGCCTAACCACTGCAGTGTGACAGAGGGCCTAGGGCCAGGGCCCAGGCTCAGGGGTGGGGACCATTGCAGAATCTTAGTTTCAGCTATTTAGGGGAAACTTAGCAGCACATTCACCACTTGCAAGCATTCACTTACCTCTCTCTGATCTGATTTCCCCATCTTTCCATGTGGGTGTGCTGAGGCAAGAAAAAAAAAAAAAAAAGATTGCAATTTCAGGAAGGCCTTGGCCAACTTGACATTGCACCTTCTGCAACCCCACCAGGTATGGTCCAGACACACCCCTCCCCCAAACTCCAAGTCTTTTCATAAAATGATGAAAGATGAGAAGAAAGGTGGGATCGCACTGCAAAGGATGCCATGTGCTTGGAATAAACTGTCCAGTCTCTCGGCACAGTTCCTCTTCAGCCTGTGGGCAGAGTTTTGGCCCGAAAGCATCATATTGCCCAGTGGCTCTGCAGCTCTCTCCAGCCCTAGTCCAAAGCAAGTGTCAGACAGTAAAAGGGCATGGATTTCTGCAGAGAAGGCTCCTACAGTGAAGACTAGCTTGGGGGCTCTGGGGATGGTACGGTAGAGGGCTATGGGGTCCTAGCTAGGAAAATGGCTGCTGTAGTTGTTGGCCTTAGCTGGGGAGACTTACAGGCTTGGATAAAGCAGAACTATAAAGAGGTTGTTGAGAAAGAAGGGGTCATATCCTACTTAGCCCATCCTGCAGCATCCGGACCTCACAATGCAAATGGCTATATAAAGTTCCCAGGACTTCACTGTCCACACAAACTTCAGACAGCCTTGAAACAAGAGCTTCCTTTAAGCACAAAACATGGTCAAGGAGGACAGCTCCAGATCCACTGTGATTAACATCAACAGCAACAATGTCCCAAAGGATTATATTACCTGGTCCACATTTAATACAGTGTTCATGAACAGCTGTTGCCTGGGTTTCATTGCCTATGTCTTCTCTGTGAAGGTGAGTGTCATTGTGATGGGAGTATTGGGACAGAAGATATGTGTGAGGCTGAGGCTCTTCCTGCCCAGAGGGTACCTGGGACATGTACAGCCTTGAGTTTGTGCATGTGTGTTTTATATCCTGTATGTACCTATGTCTGTGTATGTAGGTTGTGTATATATAGCATATACTGTGTGTCTTGGAGCTTCTCCTAGGCAGTCAAAGGGTGAGGCTGCCTAGGGACTCTGGGTAAGACGGTCTCCACTTACTGCTTGCTTTCTGAACTGCTCCCTCACCATTCAGAATGGGGCACCAGTCTGTCTTCATGTGGGGCTTACAGAAAACAGTACCATGGTGGAGTGAGCAGACAATGCTGGGCTGTGCTGGACAGTCTGAGTGTGTGAAAGGGAGGAAGTCCTTGACCTGAAGGAGGCGAATGCAGTGGATAGGAGGACAATGGGGGAACTGAGGCAGAGAACCTGGCTCTCAGATGACTTGCTCCAAGGCCACACTGATCATTTGGTCTCTTCTAGTCCAGGGACAGGAAGATGGTAGGTGATGTGACTGGGGCCCAAGACTATGCTACAACTGCCAAGCGACTGAACATCAGTGCTGTGATCGTCTCCGTCATCTCCTTCATCTTAATTATCATTGTGCTCAGCCAACAAAAATAGAGGATAGGTACTCAGGATGGACCTCCAAGAAGCATGTGCTCTTCCTATACAGGGTCAATGGATTAATTTCTCTCATACACTGTTTTCTTGGGAAATGTGTTATGTGTGCTCCACCATTCCAGCTGTCCCTTATCCTGGCTGGAGGCCCTGACCTGTGTCACTCTACTCTTCATGTAATTGTCAGCCTCATGAATCTGTTCACATTGGAGTCAATAAAGTGCACGTGGTGGCAATTGTGCTCTGACTTTGACTGGTCCTGTACTGCACTTACTCAGGGTTTCCCTGGTTTTCTTCCTGGCAGGGTGGGGATGGGGGGTGGAGAGTGGGGGTGAGGATGGGGTAGGTATAGTGCAGGGCATTCACAGCTAGGACGGGTTCTGGCCTCTTGCTGGAGACAGCAGCTGACACGCATCCTGCATAGGTCCTCTTTGACTTAGCAGGCATAAGCAGGCAGTAACTAAGCATTGCCTATCTCTGGCTCCATATACCCAGAACACTCAGGAAATGTGCAGAGCCATAAGCTAGGGAGTCCTCATTCCAGGGATAAAGGGCCAGCCCAGGGTCCTCCCATTTCAGGAGGAAAAAGCCTCAACCCAGACAAACGGTGTCCAGGATTTCTATGGTGGCCTCTGGCTTGGATTCTGAGCAGACTTTACACCACCTGTTGGATGCATTGACCCTTACTTTTTCTCACACTTCTCACAAGTCGGGAGTGGACAGCGGGAGTGGGGGGTGGGGTGGGGAGTAGGGGTGAACAGGAAGTCTTTGCTTCCGGGCACCACCTGCTGATGGAGCACACGATCATTCTGTGGGTCCTCTGATTTGGTCTTGCACCCTTTGCCATCCGTCTGTACTTGAAATTCACCTCTCCTCTTCCTGGATGTCCTTGGTGCCTGTGTTCCCACCTCATTTTGGGAACCCCAAGATTACAAGTCTTTGAAGCCCCTGGGTCTTTCTGTGTTGGTACTTGGGTTCTGGTCCTGGGTTCTGATCACCTTGTGGGGCTTGAGATGCCCTCTTCACCAAGGTCTAGGGTTCTGGAGCAGAATCACTCTCTTCACTGGGAGTTGAGCTTATCTCAGGAAGACAGGAACCCTAGTAGTAGTGAAGACAGAGGATCCCACTGGGAGAGCCGCTGTCATACTGAGGACAGTGAGTGACTCAGCCACTCTTAGGGAGAAATCAAGGCCTGTTCAGTTTGCACCAGCCAAGGAAAAAGTGTCTGAGAAGGACCCAGTGTGACATCTCCACTAAAACTCATGGCCTTGGGCCTTCAGAGTGCTCAACCTCAGATCCAGGTCATGACTGAATGAAGGTAGAGACTTCAGGACAAGAAATGTAGTCCCTATGGCCACCCTTCAGGCCTCCCTAAGCCTGTATATGAGCAATGCTTGGGCAACTATCCCAAGGGCATGGAAACCTCGGGCATGTTAGATATTGTTGGGCACAGGAGCCAGGTCGTGATCTCCAGGCTGAGCACCATTCTAATCACTTGTCTCAAGTGGAATATATGGGTCTGGATATGGCTAGTGTTCACTACAACCCTCCAGTGAAGCCACAGTGGGGCTGCTCACCATGGAGAGTCCCCATGCTCACTTCCCACTCACCAAATGTGCAATCGGAGCAGAAGCAATAGGAGTTGTTATAACTTCCCATTGTGCTGGTGACCTGCAGGGCAGGGTAGAGTGGTTAGCTTGGTGGGGAGACTCCAAGTTGCTCCTTACCCAAAGCCAAAGAATAAACAAAGCAATGTCTCATCCTGAGAAGACAGCAGAGAAACCCCAGCCCCCCCAGCCTATACTGAACAGTGGTGGTGGTGCTGGTGCTGGTCCCACCCATTTTCCTCACCCACGTGGCAGCTACAGGACAGAGGGTCTCTGGTAGGAGACAATGGGCTCCTGCAGACCCACCAATAGGAGTCCAGTTGGAGATCAGTTCCACGTAGAGGGTTCTGTGGGTCTGAAGTGTACGGGAACACAAAACCAGGAAATGTGGCCTCTCAATTCCATCTCTACTGAAGGACACTGGCCAGACCTATTCCTGGTGAGCAGAGTCAGGACAGAACCTGATGGATTAAGTGTCAACAATTGTGTATCATGTCAGAGATGGATCTTTCAAGACCGAGCAAAAGGCTGGCCGTGGCCCTTGGTTTTCCAGCTGTGTTTGTCAATCCCTGTCTCTCTGATGACCTCTGGGGCAGCAAAGGTTGCCCATGGGACAAAATGAAAAAGATGGAAAAATCCAAAGATGGCTTCTCAAAGACTGTGCCACATGGGAAAGAACAAGACAGACAAGAAGAGGCCTATATCCAGCCCACTTGGGGTGGGAGAGGGGGCATGAAGACACTGATTGATGGGGGGGGGCACATGAAGATATTGAACAAGCATGCAGGACTGGGTATAGCTCCCCACCTCTGTGGACAGGGAAATGGCCTCGATATGACAAGGCCCTCATAGCTCACCAAAGCCACCAGGAGAGAGGAAATAGTGACTGAGGATGGCAGAGAAGTGGCCACAAAGTTAGAGATAACCATTAACTTTTATATAGTCTCTGTCATGACTGGAAAAACATCTGGGAGCAAATGTATTTGACTTCAGGAATATTGTGAGACCATAGTAAACAGAGCTATGGTTGAAAATTAAATATTTTTGACTAAAAAAAAGTTATATTGCTAGGTGATAGTGGCACACACCTTTAATCCCAGCACTCGGGAGGCAGAGGCAGGTGGATCTCTGTGAGTTTGAGGCCACCCTGGTCTACAGATGGATTTCCAGGACAGGCTCCAAAGCTACATAGAGAAAGCCTGTCTTAAAAAAACCAGTAAACAAACAAACGAATAAATAAATAAAGGTTATACCAAAATCCAACAGGACAACACTTGATATCATTTACAACTTCAGGGGTTAGTCATATTATTTCATCTCCCACAAGGCTGAAAGGCGACAGGAGAGTAAACTGCTGGCCATCAGTTCAAACCTTCCCCTCATGGATGTGTGAGGAGTAGTGTGATGGAGGCCTTGTTGGAGAATTTTTCCACAGGACACAATAGTACCGGCACTCTCAGGCTCCAGTCTTAGTCTCTGTTCCCAGACCAAAACCCCACTCTGTATATGGTGTCCCAGGAGCCTCTGTGAAGGAGTAGGTGAGTACATGGATATCACACTACTTATTCCAACAGGCAGGACCCTGTTAGGGAAGGTGATTAAGCTAGCTCCAGGCAACAGGGTTGTAAAAGAGTGACTGTAGAATTGCTGCTACTCCTGTGAGGAGCTCAAGGAAGGAATGAAATTACTAGAATCTGAAAACCGAAGGAACCACAAACCCCAAGACTCAGAGCTCGAGGAAGGGCAGGTGCTGCAGGGCACCTGGAAGCAGGGCTGGTAGCTTGGTCCTTATGGTGCCACCAAGATAGAAAGCAGATACAGTCCTAACAGGAGAGGCCAGGCCAGGCCTCCCTGCTGTCACCAAGGGTAGCAAACTAATCACTCAGCATGATCAGGAGTGGCTTTCGGTGCCATAGCTCTCACCCCACCATGTACTTGAGGAGGCTTTTCTGACAATGAAGGTCCTTAGTGGCCGTTCCACTAGCACTAAAGAATTATGCTAGGGCTGGAGCAAAAAGGGAGTTGGAGTAGTACAAATATGCCAGCCCTGGACCATGAGGTCATAGCCATGTGACCCGGGATCATTCAGCCCTAACACCAAAGTCCAGTACTGAACACACTTAGGGCAGTAGGTCTCTGTAAAAGGAGACACAGACAGGTATAGTTTGCCCCAACCTCTACCTGCAACAAAGCCAGTAGAACTGGCTTCCATAGTAGGTGCAGTGGGCTCGGTGGGCACCTACAATTGCTGGGAGATGGAGGGTTCTGTGGGGCCTGGCTGGGATCTTTGTCAGGGACAGAGAGGTTCTGCAGCTGTTACCCTGAGCTTGGTAGACTCTAGGACCCCTCACTCATAAACAGTGAAGTTTAGGTCCTGGGACAAGTCCTGACTTGGGTTCCCAGACAGGAAGTTCCCCTGATTCACAGTCCTTCCTGACATCCTGCCCTGGAGTAATTTGATCCACAGGACGTTTAGATCCACGCCCCTCAGGACTCAGCCAATTCTCATTAAGCCAAAATTCAGGAAAAGGAAACTTCTGAGAAACTGAAACTGCTGGAGAAAAGGCGACTCAGCAGAGCTCTTCATCCTTTACCCCTCACTTCTGGTTTTGCTCAGCACCATGAACACTTCTCAGGCCTTCTTGACTACTGCCAATGGGGGGCAGCCCCCAAACTACGAAAGAATCAAGGAAGAATATGAGGTGGCTGAGCTGGGGGGATCCCATGGCTCAACCTCTGTCAGAACCACCGTGATCAACATGCCCAGAGAGGTTGCTGTGCCTGACCATGTGGTCTGGTCCCTGTTCAACACACTCTTCTTGAACTTCTGCTGCCTGGGTTTCATCGCCTATGCCTACTCTGTGAAGGTGAGTGAGGTGGAGCTGGGAGTGTAAGGTGTGTGGGAGCCTGAATCTCATGTACCCAGATGGCACCTGGGGGCAGGAGGTGTGAGGGGTCCTTTGTTTAAAATGTTTGTATGCATTCTACTTCTGTCTGTCTGTGTGTGTGTGTGTGTGTGTGTGTGTGTGTGTGTGTGTGTGTGTGTGTGCTGGCTTAAAGACTCTCTAAGACAAATATGGGGTGAGGCTGCCTGGGGATCCTGGAGTCAAGACTGTCCCAGTGTAGACTAGAAGAATACCTAGAGTGTCCCCTTCACCTTACACACTGGGATGCTATTCATGGGGAATAGCACTCCATGGTGGGGTGAGCAAGCAGCAAGTCCTAGGGCCTCCTGCATAGTCACAGTACATAAAATGTTCTTGACCTAAGTGGGAGAGATGCAGTCCACAGGGAGTATGATGAGAAAACTGTCCATGCATTTGCCCATCAGCTCCATGGCCATTGACCATTTGCTCTGCTCCAGTCTAGGGACAGGAAGATGGTGGGTGATGTGACTGGAGCCCAGGCCTACGCCTCCACTGCCAAGTGCCTCAACATCAGTGCCCTGGTCCTCAGCATCCTCATGGTTGTCATTACCATCATTGCCGTCCTCTCCATTGTTTTTTCTGCTGGCCGTCTTTACACTTAATAGAAAATCTGGCTTTTGGTCCTGACATGTGCTGCCACCATCCACCATCCACAGCTGCCTTCCTCTTTGCTCCTTTACGCCTCCCTATATACAGATACAATACTTACACAT